CAGCCCAGAAATAGCTGTTTTAAATTTTATCGAAATCGGTTCAGATTTGGATATAGCTCCCATATATATCTTCATCCGATTTCGGGTTAATTGTGCACCAAATGGCCGATATAAGTCCAAATGGACTGAATTTTAGTACATCGGACCAAATTCAGCCTAGAAGCAAGTATATCAAATTTAGTGAAAATCGGTTCAGATATAGATATAGCAACCATATATATGTTTCATCCGATTTAGAGTTTTAGTCCCATACATTCGTAATATTCACTCCACAACCGTGATATTTGGTACCAGGTATTAGATGGAGCACAGGAATAGCTGTTTTAAATTTTATCGAAATCGGTTCAGATTTGGATATAGCTCTCATATATATCTTCATCCGATTTCGGGTTAAATGTGCACTAAATGGTCAATATCAGACCAAATCACCAGTCTAGAAGCTAATACGTAAAATTTGGAGAAACCCGGTTCAGAGATAGCTATAGTTCGTAAAATGCACGACAGAATTAGATAGATTTTGATTTTGTACCAAATATCTCATAGAGCTCTGAAATGCCCTGTATAAACCTTTTTACGAGAGCTCTACTAAATATGCATAGTGGTGTAGGGTATCATATAGTCGGCCCCGCCCGACTTTTGAGCTTTCCTTACTGGTTTAATATGTTTTTCAAGGGACTATCTGAGCTTCACTGTTAGCTTTTGAAGGGCTTTCAGAGCTATAATAGTGGATTGTTTATACCCTCCACTATTCTATAGAGGGTATTTTAGCTTTGTCGTTCCGTTTGTAACTCCCCAAAATATTCATAATAGACCCTACAAAGTATATATATATTTTGGGTAAGCGTAAAATTCTAAGACATGCTAAGTTCCTCAATGGGCCATGTGGATCCACGTTTTCGTATAGCCCCCATATAACTGTACCTCCCGATATTCGATATATTCATGATTTTAGCGACATTATTTAAAGGAATTATTTTAAATTTTGTATTTGAAGTTCGTAATGAGTACTACAGTCTATGACAAACATTTTTTATGCAGGTCCACGTCTTCGTATAGCCCCCCATATAACTAGCTCCGGTGGTAGAACATTGAATATATACGTCCACGTTTTCAATCCTTGTAGTATTATATTGCTGTCATTTCTAAGCCACTATTGTTTACAAGCGTACAAAAGCATTTTGGTGAGAATTTTTCAAAAAAAAGAAATGTTATGGATGGCATTTAAGCGCGATAGTGTGATTTCTTTATATTTGGCTAGAAACCCACAAGTGGCTATCGTTAGAGCATCCCTGCATTTAAATGTGAATAAATCTTTTGTGTCTCGTACGGACGGAAAAAAAACAGCAGCATCAGCAGAAATGGTTCGAAAAGTAAAAAAACGGCTTGATCGAAACCTGCGTCGCAGTGGCGAAAAATGGCTCGTGAGCTGAACATATCGCAATATTCCATTCGGCAAACATTGAAAAATGAGCTCGGGGTAAAGCCATTGAAATTCCAAAAAAACGAAACAAAAAACTTGTAATAGCCTCCACCATTACGAAGGAACTTGAAAATTTTCATAAACATTTCCGAAAACTACCACTTAAATGAAAACCGTTATATGAGATCTACATGAGGACGGGGACCTGCATACGATTTTTTTGCTATTATAACCCATAAAGATACGAAATTTGAAACGATTCCGGGAAATAATGTCGCTGAAATCGTCAAAATACCGACAAAACCCGTTATATGGGGGCTATACGAATACAAAAATTTTTGTCATAGACTGTAGTACCCATTACGAACTTCAAATAAGAAATTTTAAATAATTCCGGTAAATAATGTCTCAAAAATCATGAAAATACCGAATATCCCGAGTTGCCGTTATATGGGGGCTATACGAAGATCTGGACCTGCATACAACAATTTTTGCCATAGGTTGTAGTACCCATTAGGATCTTACGATACGAAATTTAAAGAGATTCCGGTGAATAATGTTGCTGAAATCAACAAAATACCGAATATCGAGAGGTACCGTTATATGGGGGCTATACGAAGACTTGGACCTGCATACAAAAAATTTTGTCATAGGCTGTGTACCAAATAGGAACTTCAAATACGAAATTTGAAATAAATCGGGTAAATAATGTGGCTAGTATCATGAAAATACAGAAAATATGGAGGTAAGGCTTTATGGGGGCTATATGAAAACGTGGACCGGCATGGCCCATTTACGAACTTAACCTTCCTACTGGTAAACTATGCACGTATGCAAAATTTTAGCCTTGTTTTCAATTCGTTCGAAAGATAGCGTGATTATAACAGACTGACAGACAGACCAATATCGCTAAATCGTCTTAGAATTTTACGCTGATCCAGTATTGTTATACTTTGTAGGGTCTATTATGAATATTTCGAGGAGTCTCAAACGGAATGATAAAGTTAATATACCCTATATAGAATGGTGGAGGGTATGAAAGAGCTAAAGAGTTGCGTCGCTTGGCCGAAAGTGGTGAACTGCCGAATTTGGTTTTCTTCGATGATAAAACATTTGTTGTCCAGCAGTTTGTAAACAAACAAAATTATCGTGTTTACTTGCCAAAGAGGTCAGCTTAAAATGTGCATCTTCGTTGGCCACCAGAACTCAAGCGCCGGCCATGTGGGCCGCCATAACAGCCAATGGTCGCTCTCCGCTTTTATTAGTCGACCGAAATATTCTGGAGGGTGTATTAAAGCCTTGAACACGCAAACATTTTGGCCGTATACCTTAGAAATTCCAACAGGACTCAGTACCATCGCACTCAGCACGCGCCACCCAAGAATGGTTACAAAATGAGGTTCCTCGCTTCATTTCCAGCGCACAATGGCTACCAAAATCTGCGGATACCAATCCGTTGGACTATTGTGTCTGGAGTATTTTGGAAAGCAAGGTTGGCACTAAAAAATACCAAAGTGTCGATCTCCTCAGGCATGCGCTTCGCCGGGAACGGCCAAAATACCGCAGAACAACATTCGGGCAACGTGTGACGGTTTAATTGGACGTTTGAAGGCCATAATTCGTGCCAAAGCTGACCAATCCAAACAAATCTAAACTTATTCTAAAATTTGATGCTATTTCCGACATTTTTTGCTTTCATTCAATAAAATTTAAAAAAAAAATGTAAAAATTATTGTCTTTGACTTTATTGGAGTTTTTTGTCTCACCCTGTATATATATATATATATTCTTTGTTGGGTCTAAAATTGTTTTTTCGATGAATTACAAATGGAATGACTCCATACTACGCATGATAAAGGGGATCGAATGAGTGACACTCAACGCCATGTGAATCATACGCCACATTGATTTCCATTATCTATATTTGTTCACGTTATTTTCTGTATGTATGAGCAAGCACTCGCCGCATGTTCTGTAGTTAATATTCAAATTAGTATTATTGCTTGAAGTTTAATTGCCTTTTCAAATCACCACAAAATATACCAAACTTTTGTAGCGTTAAACTAAGTTATCAAAGAAAATGATTGCGGCGCTGTAGAAAATGCAAATTTTTAATATTGCGTAAAAATGTGAAATTTATTGCCAAAGAAGTGAAGTCGTAACAAAGACACTTTTATATGGATTTCCTTTCGTTTCTACAACAAAACTTTTCATTCTTTCCTTAAAACAAAAGTTTTCCGTCTTTGATGGATGATTCCAAGTTTATTCTGTTCTACTTTATCCAATTAAAAGGACATTTTTATTACTTCCGTCCACAATTATCCAGGGTCATTTGTTTGTGGATTTTTTGTTTTTTTCTTTCGTTTTATATTTTCTGTGGCAATTTTATTCCGAGCCTCCGAAGCTTGTGAATGTTTGGGGCCACTGTAAATTAAAATTGTTATATTATGTAAATGCTAGTGTTTGTGCAGTGTTGTTCACCTATACAATTGTAAGGTTAAGTTTGGTTAGGTATGCATTTGTAAGAATACCTTGCAGTGCTAAAAAAAATAAAGAAAAAACAAATCGTATCCTTGATACCAAAAATATGAATTACCTCATTTAACCGGGGGCCACAAATAAATAGCAAACATAAAAATAAGGAAAATGTAAAAGCGTCACAATTTGGTGGAAAAAAATTATCCTCGGCTTTTTTGGCAGTCATTCTGCTGTTGGGGGTATATGAATATTTAAAAAGGCGGAATTAAGTGATATGCCAATGAGGACTTCTTTAGTAGGCCACATAGGATCCACATTAATATTATTTGCTACATTGACAACTTTTTATTAGTCCGCGATCGATGGAAGTCTTCACTATTTGCCTTATATCTGTCGGAGTTCTCGTTTAACTCTTTCGAATATATTTCTTAATCAATGTGGCCTGCAATTCGATACCCCTCCTAAATATGGCTCTAATTGCCAGTCGATGCCTTTCTCTCCAATTGTCCGTAGTTTTCAATGCATGGGCGTCTTCTCTAAAACCAAACAGCAATACCTCCTCGTAACAGCCAAGCAAACGGATATCCTTTAACGAAACCTTTTGTTTTTATTTTTTGTTTAAAGAAAACATACAAGAAAATGTAGAGTTGTTTTCCTCCTCTCGCCTTCATTATTCCCTAGCAGTGGTTCAATGACTACTGGGGCCACTTTAGACAAATGCCACCGCAATATTTTGTTATTTGCCATAAGGGCTTCGAATACGTGTTTTCTGTTTTTATTTTAAGAGGAATAAACGAATGTAGCTGGAAGAACAATAGGTATGTCAGATCCCTTTCCACTGCTAACCGGATTCGCTGATGCATGTTAATGCATCGAAGCTATTTTAGCGAAAGGATGTTCACTTGAGAGCTATAATTGGAGGATTTTCAGAGGGAATGCAGCAGGGAGTTTTCCTTTAGGAATATTTTTGCAAAGAAGAGAAATAATTGCAGAAAAAAATATTTTCCAAAAGGATTTCACAAAGGGCTTCAACAAAGACGCCATAAAGGGCTTCAACAAAGACGCCATAAATAGTGTCAACATAGACGCCATAAATGGTGTCCTAATATACGTCATAAATGGCGTCTTCATAGACGTCATGGATGACGTCATCATAGACATCATGAATGGCGTCTTCAGAGACGTCATGAATGGCGTCTTCAGAGACATCATGAATGGCGTCTTCAGAGACGTCATGAATGGCTTCTTCAGAGACGTCATGAATGGCGTCTTCAGAGACGTCATGAATGGCGTCTTCAGAGATGTCATGAATGGCGTCTTCATAAATGGCGTCTTCATAGACGTCGTGAAGGACGTCTTCGTAGGTGTCATGTATGGCGTCTTCATAAATGGCGTCTTCAGAGACGTCTTGAATGGCGTCTTCAGAGATGTCATGAATGGCGTCTTCATAGACGTCATGAATGGCGTCTTCATAGACGACATTAAGGGCGCCTTCATAGACGTCTTTAAGTGCGATCTAAATGCAAAATATATTTTCATGGCCACAAAACGTGCGGCTCATTATATTGCCATATTAGTCCTTTAGTTATTCTCTTCAAATTATATTTTAATAATTATTCTCATTTCTTTTGTTCCTTTCTCTTTCAGATCTTGGACCAATTTTTACACCTTTTAACACAAGAATAAGGAAACAACAACAATTTATACTTGAATATATATCATTTACACCCCCCTTAGCTGTTAGTTGAAATAGACTAGAAGTTTACACTAAAATCCTTAGATTAGAGCAACAAATCACTATTCTATACCAAAAAAAGAAAAAAAAAAAAAACAACAAAAATTGCGGAATATTTTACTATCCTGAATTACACACACAAAACTCCCACATACATCATTAGGAAACTCCTTAAGTAGTAAGTTTTCCAAAGAGTAGAGCTTAGCTGGAATCCGGACTTTTAATCAACCACATAAGTAATACCCAGAAAACACCTACAATTGCAGTAAATCACAGCTATTTAAGGATCGCTTCCTCTCTGCGCTCCCGGGTTGACATCCTATTGGGAAATAAAACCAAACAGAAGCAGTAAAAGATATAAACAACTACAGGAGTTTGTAGCGGTGGTCATTCTCTACAACAACACACACACACATATCTACATCTATCCTCCTCTCCGGTGTTTTTTAAGCTACAACCAGAAAAATTGGTTTCAAAATTGGTCAAATGTTATGTTGCGGTTTTTGTTGTGGCAACATGTCAAAGCGAGACTACAAAGTTGCCACAATGGATGGCATAGAACTGGAGCCCTTGGGCGGCGAGAAAATGGATAAGGACAAGGAAAAGGATAATGAGAAACAGACGAATGGTGTTACATTTGGTAAGTACCGAAACCATGAAAATTTGCTCCACCAGTAGTTTTATTGTCACTGAAGAGAGAGAAAAAAAAGTAAATAAAAATAAAAATGTTATTTCTAAAGGATATAACAAGGATAATTGTGTTGACACATTTATAAGGTACACATTTGTATGTGTGGGAAAACTAATTTTGGGTATGTGTTTTTTGGAGGGGATTTACTCGACAACAGCCTTTTATTGTCTAACTCACTCCCCAGAGCTACTGCTGTTATTGTTGCTGCGGCTGCTGTCGCTGGTGCTTTGTGACAAGCAACCCTTAAATGTTTTATTCATTCCATAATTAAGTTAAGAACCCTTAAGTGGTTTTGTATACGTTCGCCATTCATACTTTTCCTTTCATCACCGGGAAGAATTATGCCAGCCAAGCAGTCAGCTAGTCAGCCAGGCCGCATCCCAACTCTACCACCTTCCATGCAATCATTCATTACAAACGTCGTCGACATCTTAACGTCCTCCACATCGTTGTCGTCATCATAATAATCCTCATCATTGTCATCGCCATTGACTTCAACTTACTGTCTGTCATTTACACACGACCATATGTACGTTGGAACGTCGTGTTAATGGTTTAATGAAAAAATTCTGGAAAATCCTTCGTGCATTACACTCGAATAATGATTTTATTAAGAGGAATAAATCGGGGAGTCAAATAAACTGGAATGTGGATTTAGAAGAATATTTTTCCTCTGACATCTTGGCCTAAGATTATTGATTTATGAAATAAATATTTACCTTTTTGAACATTTCTTGAAGGACCACAGAGGTTGTCACTTGATTTTCTATGAAACAGATTATACCGGTGGAAATTTTTCATGAAATTTTTTTTTAGAAATTATTGTAAGATCTACAAATTAATTTATTGTAAGATCTACAAATTGAATTTGTGGGATAATGTTTGAGTTATTTTTTTAATTTTTAAACAAACTTTGCATAAAAATATTTTTAAGAATTTTTTTTTTAAACTATTTAAAGTTTTAAAAAAAATACATATTATTTTGCCAAGATCCAGAGCTTAATTTAAGAGGATTTGGATCATGGACGACAAAAAATTCAAGCTATAAACATGGATTTTACAATTATTTTTGCAAAAGTTACGTAGAAAATAGAAAATTATATTTCAAAAAATACCAAAGATTTAAAAATGACTTAAAAATGTTTTTCCAAAATCATAGAAGTTAAAAATATAAAAATTATAAAATAATATAAAGGTGGGTTTTAAATTTTTTTCTCTAAACATTAAACTCTGCTTTTAAGAATCACTTGGATAAACTGGGATTTAAGATATCAATAACTACAAAGAATAAAAATTACAGAGGCTCTAACGTGGATTTAAAAAATTGACTAATAGCAAAAGCTATAAAAGTGGATTTTAAAAATATTATTTTTCAGAAATCACAAATGCTGTAAACAAATGGGGGTTAAAAAAATATATCAAAAAGGGACAAGGAAATAAACGTGAGTTTAGGCATTTTGTAATATTTAATATAAATTTAATAAAAAAAATGCAACAAAGTCAAACGCCATAGTTTTTACACTTTTTTTAAATTTTATTGAATGAAAGCAAAAAATATCGTAAATAGCATCAAATTTTAGAATAAGTTTAGATTTGTTCGAATTGGTCACCTTTGGCCTGAATAAGGCTACCATTCATAGCTATTTTCCTATGGAAAGTGGGAGCTATATCACAATATGGGCCTACAAGGATTTTTGCGAAGAGTTAAACTACCCATTGAGAATCCGAAATGTCAGATTACACCAGATTTGGTTGCAAATCTAAGAACTCCACATTTATAACCTTCCATGTTCTGTAAAATGTAAATCCTGTAAATCCTATTTTTATAAGTTGTCTATGATGTGTGTCTAATAACTTCGAATTTTTCATTTCTTTGAGTGTATTTCTTTCACTTCACGAATACCATCATTCATTGTGACAATTGCTTAATTGCAAACGTGTTGTTGGTTTTTTTTGTTGCGGCAGGAATTCGTTATGGAATTTCGAGAACAATGAACAATCGTGGTACTTACTGACGGATTCGAGGAATTCATAATGGAATGAGTTTATGCATTTGTACTTGTTGTTGGCATTGGTGTATCCATAAACGTATTTCATTATGAATATAATTTAAAATTTTTTGTTCACCAAATATCAGGGGCTTAAAATACCTCAATTATTTCAATAATGGGCACCCAAATCTACTGCTTTGCATAAAATCAGTAATATCCGGCAGGTTGTTATTCAATTAAATGTCAGAGGAAAATGTGTGAAAAAATGCCTATATATAAAATCTTCCCTCTGTTCGTCTATAATGATTCATTTTGTCGACGTCTTCTCTGTCGTCCATTCAGACTTACAGTCAGCCTTTTTTTATACAGACTGCCTTTCAGCTCGTCTGTTAGGATTTTCTGTTGGCTCCCCTCTGGCGTAAAAATAAACTTACTTTAAGCTCTTTTATAAAGCCCCCCCCCTCTAAGCTCACCCGGTTAGTGCTTTTGTAATATTGTCATCGCTCAATTTTATCCTCCAATAAAATTCCAATAACATGTCATGTTTTTAAGTTTATGTCATGTAGTTGTCAAACGCTTGATATATCCTCTTTGTCCGCCTTTTTCTCCTTCCTCATTTCATTCAAACATAACCCATTATCGATCAATGCTTTGCAACACTAAACGTTTGTAATTATGACTATACCCCTCCATGAAAACAGTTTTCCAGGCAATTGAAAATGCAACAGCATAACAACATCATGCAATGAATGCACCGCTCTCGAAGCCATACTGGGACCGACAGACATATTTAAAAGGTATTTCACTTAGAAATCGGTAAAGTTTGAGAACAAATACTTCAATAAAAAATCGACTAATTAAAATTTTATCGACCGCCGTCTGTGGAGAGGTTATTGTGGCCATGCTGAACCAACTCCATCCAACTCAACTAAATTCATAACAACAACAACAATCAAGCTATGCAGCAGCATAATTTTTCAACAACATCGATTCTTGAGTGTTCACCGGAATTTCATAAGTCATTCTGCAAAATTTGGTTATAAATATTCTAGAATACTGCAATTTTGTCGACAGAAATTTGGTAGTTAAAGAATGCCCCAGAGAGGGAGAGAACTTCTCTGTGCCCGTGTGTGTGTTTGTTTTCATTTGAACAAATGTCTGTAACCTTTTTGGTTGGTGTCAATTTTTATTAGCATCGGTTGAACATCACCTGTCAAAAATGTTTCAAAGTTGAATGAACCTAAAATGGATGGCAAATACACAAAGTTTTCCAGCCCGAGGGATCGATAGACATATATGACAAACCGAACTGAGTTTGTGGTCAAATTTTGCATGAGGAAAAAAATGAAAGAAATAGGTTGGAAAGTTTGGTGGAAAAAAGTGACGAGCGACGGTAGAAGCGAAAACTTTGGACAACAAAAATGATTGCACGAGCTACAGAGACGTCCGCCATCGTCGTCTATGGAGACGACCTCCAAGTCAACTATAGAGACGACCTCCAAGTCAACTATAGAGACGCCCTCCAGGTCGTCTATAGAGAGGCCCTCCAGATCGTCTATAGAGACGCTCTCCAGGTCGTCTATAGAGGCGACCTCCAGTCGTCTATAAAGACGCCCTTCAGGTCGTCTATAAAGACGCCCTTCAGGTCCTTTATAAAGACGCCCTTCAGGTCGTCTATAAAGACGCCCTTCAGGTCGTCTATAAAGACGCCCTTCAGGTCGTCTATAAAGACGCCCTTCAGGTCGTCTATAAAGACGCCCTTCAGGTCGTCTATAAAGACGCCCTTCAGGTCGTCTATAAAGACGCCCTTCAGGTCGTCTATAAAGACGCCCTCAGGTCGTCTATAAAGACGCCCTTCAGGTCGTCTATAAAGACGCCCTTCAGGTCGTCTATAAAGACGCCCTTCAGGTCGTCTATAAAGACGCCCTTCAGGTCGTCTATAAAGACGCCCTTCAGGTCGTCTATAGAGACGCTCTCCAGGTCGTCTATAGAGACGCTCTCCAGGTCGTCTATAGAGACGCTCTCCAGGTCGTCTATAGAGACGCTCTCCAGGTCGTCTATAGAGGCGACCTCCAGTCGTCTATAAAGACGCCCTTCAGGTCGTCTATAAAGACGCCCTTCAGTCGTCTATAAAGACGCCCTTCAGGTCGTCTATAAAGACGCCCTTCAGGTCGTCTATAAAGACGCCCTTCAGGTCGTCTATAAAGACGCCCTTTAGGTCGCCTATAAAGACGCCCTTCAGGTCGCCTATAAAGACGCTCTTCAGGTCGTCTATAAAGACGCTCTCCGGGTCGCCTATAGAGACAATTCGTTGTGGGTTCGTCTCTAAAGACTCATTTATCCTCTTCTTCTGTCTTCAGCGACTTCATTGTGTTCCCCTAAGCCGCCTCATAATAGTCACTCACAAATATATTGCCCACATTTACCACCACATATTGTTATTGGTATTTTAGCAAGCCAGTTGTGATTAGAGGACATTGAACTTTTTCCAGGACATTTCAGTGTGGCATACATACGAGTACACGTTTGTATTTTTGCTGTTGTTGTTGTAGTTATACCACAATTTTTGACATAATTAGAAATAAAATTGTTCGCCATAAATTACAATTTTGTGTAAATGTAGTAGTGGATATTGCCGTTACGGCCTTAGCGTCGAAATGCTGGAGTGGTGTGAAATGGAAAGAAGTGGTGTTGGCTGTAACTCATCTTTGAGGAGTAATAAAGTTTTGGGGTACCATTTGACATAGCGAGCGAGAACATATGGCAACAAGAGCCCATCACAAGGGGTGAACTGAAATGAAAGCATACATTTAGGAGTTTAGTATTAAGTGGAAAGTGGTGCAATTTTGCTTTCTTTTCCGCAAAAGTGTGTTATGACAATTTATGGAGTCGTTCGTGGAGAGTAAAACAGAGGGTGAGATGCGAGTGCAGGGATTGTAAAACATTTGCTGCATGCCA